ATACTCTGGCTAGTAAAAGTGAAAACATTGTTTTAGATATTCTTTTAGTAACTATAGCTAAATATAGAAATAGTTTGCATCTTGTGGAAATATTTAACCTCTAGTAGATGATTTTACAAAAGAAACATGCAGTTTTATGTCCCAGTCTGCCTAGGACAGACCAATATCTACCTACATCCTGGAATAAATATTACTAGTATATCATTTCATTTTCCCAAGTGTTCTAGTATGGACAATAAATTATAGAGTCATCCAAATACTCCTGCTCAGTATTAAATTTGTTAGATAAGAGATGATACAATGATACTGCTTTCATACCAGGCTATAAATATCTGGTGAACATCAGGTAATTCTGTCACTAGAAAGTTGCAGAATCCGTTTGTGAGGGAAACGTGCATATACACAGCTGTGGATGTGTAGACACCTGTATAGTACATACATACAGCGCTTCTTTGTTTTAGGTGGCTTTTTGGGATCTTAAAAAAAAGATCAAACTTAGTCAATTGTTAATTTAACAAATATTTTCCCATCATGAATCCACTTTAAAAAAAAAAAAACTAAACAAATCTTTACACTAACAAATTCGGGTACATTGTTATTTAATTTGATACTATGTAGTTTACCCGGCTTTTATGCCCTCTGTGCTGTAGTCCAGCTGGATTCCACTTCTTTAACCGTCCGGGATAGAGTCAGAGTCAAACCTGGCAGGAACTGAATGTAGCTGAGCTACATGCTTTGACTCTGTTTTATGATTATCTGATGTTTATCAGGCCTTTTCTCTCCTGACAGTAACATAAATACGGATAATGATAGATGGACTCTATCTGATCATAAAGATTTTAGCGGTAAGGCACTCTGCTTAAAGTTAAGCATTTTTATTGGAATTTTATAAACTGAAATTTTCTAGCCACTTTCTTGGGGAATGTTTTAGGTTTTTTATTATCGTGAACTACACATAACAAAATTTATCATTTTAACCATTTTTAGGTATAAAGGGAATAATCTTTTTTGAAAGTATGATATGTATTAAGAATAGCTATATGGAACATATTTTAGCAATCTTAAATTTTATTTTTGTTTTAGACTATCCGCCATTATCTGGATCCTTTGTGGCACCAGCTCGGAGCCAAGACAAAATCCTTAGTTCAGGATTTGAAGATATTACGAACTTTGCTACAATATCTCTCTCAGTATGATTGTGTCACATTTCTTAATCTTCTGGAATCTCTGAGAGCAACCGAAAAGGCTTTTGGTCAGAATTCAGGTGGGAGATAAAAATACTAATAATATTCTAGCAGCTGATTTGAATAGTGTTAGATTTTGGTGGGCAATCAGATGTGAGGAGTGCTGTATTCAACTATATGTTATACTAAGATTTCAAATTATGTTTCATGTTCATATCACAAGGATGTAGGTTTTATTGATAGCTAATGTTTCCGCCTACTTAACTTCTGTTCTGTGTAATAATAAATATTCATATCCATTCTGGGCAATTTTATTTCTAGAAAAGACTGTGTGTAGTACAGGCAGTCCCCAACTTAGAAATAGGTTGTGTTCTGGAAGTTTAGTTGTTAAAGAACTTAAAATTCATTTTTCCCAAAGAAAAAGCAAGGAAATGTGGAGTTTCATCAGCTGGAGTGCCAAAGACTGAAGAGCAAAAGAGATTTATAGGGATATATACGTATGCAACTGGCCACCATCTTGTTTTCCTACCACTGTTGTGGCCTCTGTGGCTTCTGTCACTGTTTGACTAGACCAGTGTTTTTCAAAGGATGGTCCACAGGCACCTGGGGTCAAAATTTAATACAGCGAATAATTTATACTACTTCTTCAGGGACATGCTTAAGTAACAAACTGTAGAAGCATGACAGTAAAGAATGCATTGACTGCTAGTACACTTTCGTGACACTGCCTTGGTTTATGCTAAGGCACCAGCAGCGTTACCCAGCAAAGCTTTACACCATCACTGGAAATGTCAACATAGGGAAAGAAATCAAATAATGTCTTAGTATTATTATGAGAAAAGTTTCGACATCACAGACCCCCTGAAAACATTTGGGGACCCCTGGGAGTTCATGGACGACATTTTGAAAACCACTGGTCTAGCCAAACAGTGACAGAGACCACAATAGTGGGAGAAAGTGTGGTTGGTAGGAAGATAAGATGGTGGCCAGTTATGTATGAGGTCTGTCCGAAAAGTATCCAGCCATATAACCGTTCTCAGATGTATTAACAATGGCTGGATACTTTACGGACAACCCTCGTATGTAGGTTTTGTGACCATCAGAGACTATTTGAAATTAACCATAAATTGAAAACACTCTTTTTTTTAACTTTTCATATTAGGTTGGCTGTTTCTTGACTCCAGCACCTCAATGTTTATAAATGCTCGAGCAAGGGTTTATCATGTTCCAGATGCCAAAACGAGTAAAAAAGGCAAAATGTCTGAAAAAGTGGAGATTAAAGAAGAACAAGGTATCTTGTAGGGTTAAATCTTTAAATATGTCTTTTATTTAGGTATTTGGTGTGGAAATGCTTATCAAGTTAGAGTGTAATTTAAAATCTCCTTTGGCCATGTAAAAAGTTTGTGCCTGTATGTTAAATATATATATGTATGTTATATGTAACATATGTAATGTATGTTAAAAGTATTCGGTATGGCAAGTCTTAGAATCCATTGCCAGTTGGTTCCAAATTACAAATGGTAAATATCAATCTAG